ATATATTATTACAGTATATATATATATATATATATATATATATATATAATATATATATATAGCATAGTAACGTGTCTGTCATACTAATCGATTATATCAAAACGTATATAATTATTAGTATATATATATATAATAGGCCTATATAAGGCATTAATATATATATATATATATGACTTACTTAATAAAGTTGTTATAATTTATAATTAAAATATTATGTAAAATTGTTCCTATAAAGACGCGTACATTTGCTGCTATACTGTAATTATTTAAGGAGTTCTGTAGTAAAATGTCTATATATCAAACGCATTTGTTTTGCTGTGTGATCATTGAAAATATTAAATTAATAGCTTATTTGATCAACTTAAATTAAGCTTTGTATTAATTTTTAAAGGATTGTTATGTTTCAAATATCAAATATAATTATAAAAAGCTGTTTCCCTAAACATTATACTACTACTTCCAGGTAAATATATGAAAATTGTACAATAAAATTTGGGTGGCATTATATCAAAAAGGAACGTGAATGAAGTGGTGTATGTAGAGTCTTGTAATGGGGAAGGTGAGGTGGGGGGCGGGAGCTAGATGATTAGGTGAGTAGGCACTGCCTCGCAAAATAAGGTGATTTGAGATGATTTTCAACTACTTGACCGTGATTTTGGTGTGTGGGCGACGGCGCGAGTATTTTTGGATCCCCCAGATACGCCTCCTGCGTGAATGTAGTCACATTCACCTTTGTTTACATTTTGATATAAGGTGGTGCTGTGGGTTGCGTTTGTTGTGTAGCCTCAGGATGGTCCTCATTGTAGTCAGTCCCATTGTGCCCTATTTCCATTTGATCATCTATTTCTGTATATGGAGGAGGAAGATCGTAGTTTGACGGTGGCTGGGCACCTCCCTGGTACCCATGTGCCATGTTTGGCTGTTGTAAATGGTGGGGATATGTAGTTTGTGAAGGCCTTCCACTTTCCAAACTAGAAGTTGAACCAGGATAATTGTTCTGAGAGTAACCGTGTTGGATGCGAGGGTCTGACTGAGGAGGCCCTTGTGGTGCTGTATGGTTCATCCCTCGTGGCTGTCCACTGAAGAAATAATTTCGTCTGCTTCGAGGACTTCCAAAGAGATGACGACGCTGCTCAACATGCTCGTTTGCAGATTTTACCAACCAATGCATGCGGATTAAATCTATTAACCACCCAATGCCACATAAACCTAATGTTAAAAAATACGTTACACCCCATCCTGGATTCCTCAGATAGAAATGATGGAGACCGAGAAACCCCAGGGGAAATCCACAGAGGTACGCATCAAATAGATTTCTGTAATCTCGTTTATCCTCCCTTATCTCTGTGTTTGTCCTTTTCACAAGACAAGGCAATCTGAACCAATCAACTACCGTCCCAAAACCACATAATCCAAATGTGAAGAGGTACATAAAACCAAAGAAAATTCTGTTGAGGTAGAAATGATGCAGACCAAGAAATCCTAACGGGAAGGACAACGTATAGGCATCGTCAAGCCTCTTCTCTTCATCCCATATACTTGCAATAGGCTCAGCGTCGCGGATCTGCCTTATGTCGCTGTTTGCTTTCTTGACAAGGAACGGCATTCGAAACACGTCAACTACCCATCCAACTCCACATAATCCAAAGGTCAGGAAATAGGTTACTCCTGTCTCTTATACACATCTAGATGTGTATAAGAGACAGATATATGACTTACTTAATATAGTTGTTA